GCCTTCGCGTTTGTGATCTGTATTATCCGCGGATTGGCAGCGCCTAAGGAGGTACATAGTGCCAAAAATTAACCCCCCCGGCTGATGGCTTTAGCGAGCGCGCGCGCTGGCTTTAGCCACAAAAGTGCTGGCTAAATTTGATCGATTTCGGCCTTTGAAGCATTGAACTCGATGAAATTGAGCCAGAGCTCTTTAACATAGTGAAGTTACTCGCGGGCGCGCCTGGAGGTCTTGTGGAGGGACCATGTCTGTAGGTGTGATAGCAGAAGCCACCGCCTGTTGCTCGATTTCTGGCAACCCACCCGAGGCTCTGTTGTGTTTCTTGTGGCGTTGGAGAGAGGCGGTGGAGGGCGGGGGGCGCCCTCTTGGGGGGTTGGGGGCGTGCGAAAGTGGCGCCGGATTTCTTGGGCCACCGGCCTGGGCATCGGGACGGCCCGACCGCGCGCTCCCACTCTTGGTTAGGAGAGTCCGCGGGAAGAGCATGCGCGCATTGTGTGTTCCTGCTTCCTGGGGCACCGATTTTGCTTTGGGCGTTGGCCCGGTGCAGCCCGCTGGCCTTGTTCCAAGGCGGAAGGCGGCTGGCCGCCCGGCAGGAAAACGTAATGCCCGGCATGCAAGAAAGCGGGCGCGGCGCCGAGGGGACTCGCCGGCCTCCCCCGCAATGAATGGGCCAGCCGGGCCTTTCCTTGCTTTGTGCCCGCGCGCGCGGCGCGCCCGCTGCCGCTGATGAAGGTGGCGCGCCTGCATCCCCCTTGCCCCTTGGGCGCCTGTTTTTGTGGTCGCAGTTTCTTTTTGCTGTGCCCGCGCTCCGCTTGTTGGAAGGGGGGGCGGCGCCCGCCAGCGGTCGCCCAAATTATTTTGTCGGTCTGGGCGGATTGCGGTTGCTGCCCTGGTGGGGACGCCCGCTCGCCGTCGGCGCCCGGGCGTAGCAAGCTGCCCCATGGGAGACAGCGACGGGGCCCGCCACCGCCTTTTGCTTTGCTTTTTTACCTTCCATCCCGCCCCATCGTTGGTGCTGCGCCGAGCGGCATGTAGGGTCCCCCGCCGGCGGGCTGACCCCCGCCCGGCCGCGACTTTTGTTTCTTGGCGGGTAGGAGGTTGGATGGGTGGCCCACCGCAAATTTTGGGCGCCCGCCGGCCCTTCCCGGGCGGCCGGCCGCTTCAGGGGAATGCCGTATCCGCTGGCGGGCCCGAGTCTGTGTTGCCCGTCTCGCCCCGCAGCGCGCCCGTGCGTGGCTGGCCAGCAGGCCGGCCCGCCTTTCTACCTCCCTTAGTTATGGCGGACCGGCGGGTTGGGCTCGCTTTGGGCGCCAGCTTGAAATGCCTGGGCAAGCTGGCGTGACTTTGTCACGTTCCGTATTGTTGCGGCACAGCAGTAGCGTCAGTTTTTATATCCGCGTCGGACGTATCTGTATCAATATCAAGGCGCTTCCGTCAGCACACAGTTGCTGTAGCGGCGGTATAGTTTCACATCAACGCTACTCGCTTTTCTTGACCTGTGCGCTGATTCGTCGCATTATGTGCAAAATTTTCCCAGCACAAAAAAAAGCGCAAAACTATTTAAAAAGCCCACAAATACAAAAAAAAACAAAAAATCTCCCAGCACAAAAAAAAAAAACAAAACATCTGCTACTCCAAGAGAAGCAAAAAACCCCATACAAAAAAATTAAAAAACTGAAAAATCATCAATTGGGAACGTTGCCAACTTGGAACCCGCTCCCTGTCTTTTCAGGACAGATGGGCAAGGTTTTGGCGCGTGCTGTGTTCATACTAAGGCCTTTTTCGCGCTGCCTGTCATGGATAAAATTTTGCCACATTATCCGCGTGCTTGGCGTCGAGTCGTGCCTCGCCGGTGGTCTGTGTGGATCGGTGTTCGCGGGTGTTTTTCTTGTGGAAAGTGAGCGGGTGGCGCGAAGATGTTCAGCCGGAAATAATGCTCGAGAATTGGCTGGGGTCGTAGGCAGTGGGGTCACCTAGCTCAGCATGACACTGCATGGCGGCTTTCTGCGGTAATGCGGTTGGCAAAATTCGAAGATGGGTCGGGCAGATTTTTCGGCCATGACAAGCGTGCCACCACAGTAGTAGGTAGGCCGGGTAGATCAACGGGCCGCGACCTGCGCGTCGCCAGCCACGGTGGTAGGTAGGTAGGTAGGCACGCCGGGCAGACCGCCCGGCCATGGCCTGCGCGCAACGCACCGCGGTAGTAGGCAGGCCGAGCAAGCCGGCGGGTAATGGGTTGCGCGCCACCATGGTGGGGGTTGGTTGGAGGTAGGCCGAGCAGATCGCCCGGCCCGGACCTGCGCGCCACCTGATTAGTAGGCAGGCCGGGTAGGTCCTCACCAATGGCCCGCGCGCTGCGCCCCACAGTAGTAGGTCGCCCGGGTAGATCAGTGGGCCACGGCCTGCGCGCCACCACGGCGGTAGGTATGTCGGGCAGATGTTCCGGCCGTGACCTGCGCTCGCCGCCACGATAGTAGGTAGGAAGGCCGGGCAAACCAGCGGGCCACGACCTGCCCTCCTCCACGGTGGTAGGTTGTAGGTCGAGTAGAGCGTCCGGCCGTGGCCTGCGCGCCACCACGACAGACGTCCTAGGAGATAGGTTTGGTAGACAGCCGAGCGCCAGTCGCTGCGCCGTGGTTAATTGGAAGCAAGCAAGGGCGCTGGTAGGTAGGTAGGTAGATAGGTAGGTAGGTAGGAAGCCAGAAGCACTGGGAGAAAGACGCAGAATTTGAGAGCGGAAGCGCCTCAGTTAGCATCAATCTCATCTAGTTCACAGCACCGCCCTGCCCAACTACCAACCTGCCTACCGAAAAAGGGCCTGCCGGGCCTGGCCTATGGGAAAGCTCCGATAAAAAACTCTTGATCGCTGTCCGGCCTCCGAGACCTTTATGAATGTATAGCGCTTATGAGAAAGGTGCATCTTCTGCAATTTATTCCTCGTCGCAACGAGGCGCCGGCTTTCGGACCCCCTCGGTGCCCCCTTTATTCGAAGAGCGCTGCCGGGGCTGGGCGGCCTCACTTTGCCCCGGAAGGGGGGTCGAAAAGGGTCTCGATCGCGGGTGAATTAAGCGGGGTAGAGTAAATGTATGCCCGGGCAGCAGCAGTCTTGCGAGCCTGTGAGCCAAGGCTGAGGCTGGGCGGGCGGTATTTTATGTATCGGCCCCGCCCTAGCACG